ACAGTTTCTAACTTTTTCAACTTATGAAATTAATTCATGTTTAGAGATCTCAAAATTCATAATGTGTCAAAGTTTTAAATATAGAGAGTTAGAAACAGCAAGGAGAAGTCACCTGGCCAGAGCGTAGTTTATGAAAGACCTCCATAAACTATGTACAAAATAAATAAGAAGAAAGTATTGTGCTGAAATATTTATAGCCCAAAGGTTTCACCCATTAACAGTTCATAGATACTGTCTTCAAGAATGAGTCCACTGAGGTGACTGAACTACTCGGGCAAAACCAAGTTACCTATGTTTGCAATAGAGTCCTAAGAGACTTCAAACTTCAAAAGAGATTCCATTTCAGAACAGGGCTCTAACTGAACTTCAGCAATGAAAGCAAATCAGAGCATAACAACATCCACCCCAAATCAATCCTACTGCACTTTGCAAAAAAAGTTTACTAGATTTTCAAAAGAATGATTTCTTTTTGTCACAATAGGTATGAACATTTTATTTAGTATCCCTGTGAGAAAGAAAATTTTGCCGTTTAACACAACACAAGTGGTATATATTTCATGCAAGATACGTTGTCATGATTCAACTTATGTTTTGGATGTAATTTCCAAACAACAAGTAGCTCAGTTACTTAGATTTATTTTTCTGAACTCATACTTTACTTTCTATGCAGTATGTTCATCTTCTTAAAGCACTGATTCCTGGGATTTCTCAGTATATCCAAACAAAAGTCCCATCTAAATAACGTTCGGGGTTAGTTCACAGTTACATCTAATATCTGTACTTAGAAAAAAATTGATTGTGGGTAGATATATCATAGATATGTACATACTAGAAGATTTTAAAACAAGAGTAGATATAAAACACTGAAACATCAAAAAACCAAAACCCAGCACCAAAACCTGATACATATATATCCATATGAAAAGATGATGATGTTTGATTACTGTATCCTAGAAAATACAGTTTTTACTTGTCAAGTGACTAGATGCTTTATTTGGACATAAAATGAACTACTTATTTCTCCAAAATAAGTAAATAAATGAACAGAAGTTAACAAGGAGGTATGTCTTTTCCATGATTCCCAATACAGCAACACCTATTTCTGCACCAGACATTACCATTTTGTAAAATGTTTTCTTCAAACTAAAAAGTACAATCCAGATGTACTTAAGAAAACATTTAGCCAGACAATATAGGGCTCTCAAATACACTTGTACAAAGCTAGTGAAGGAATTGCAGTGTCTCAAAAGTGACAGGCAGTCAGTTATTTCTGCAGTGGGCAGATTTATCAAAACTATTTGAGAAGCCTAGACATAAAATTGATTTAATTCCATTATTCAGCAATGATCTTGACTACTGAGATGAAGCAGCACACTCTGACCTGGGAACCTATCTTAGCTAGCAAAATTAAGTGGCTATTCTTTGCAGTCTAAAATATGAGTGGATCTATACAGCAAATCGTTTGGTTCTCACATGTTCACATCATTTGTTCATTTTTGAGTTTTACTTTGAGTTGTGTTAACCCAAACACCCATTTGCAGTCAGAACACGTGCTCCCCTCCCTTTTAATAGGAATCCAGTTTACATGCTCAAGACAGCTCAGTGTTGCAAACTGGAATGCAATAAATCCGGTTTTCATTAGTTAGGTGTATTTCTGCTTCCTTGAATTCTGAATACCAAATGTATTACCTTAAGTTCTTAAAGAGATATCGTGATCAACTTCAGTTAATTTACCTTTTTTTTCTTTTTTCTCTGACGTAACACAAATAACCTACAACACTGATTACCAAAATTGGTAGAACTTGATTATATCACTACTATTTGCTTTCATCAAAATACATACCTACTTAGGATTGTTGAGACAGCAATTAAATTATTTCACTTAGATACTCTGTCTAAACAACATTGCTTCTGCAAGTTGAATGTTTTAACATAGACCAGCTACAACACAGCCATAATTAGTTATTTTTCTCTGTGGTAATGTGTTAATGGCCATGTTGCTCAAAACTGTCTAAACAAGATACAAAATAAAGGCGATTACCTTATCTAGACATTACATTATCAATAGCATTTCATAAAAATATTACTATAGAGAGTTCATTTTACATGCCTTGTACCATGTCATAAATAACCTAAAGTCTACCAAAACTGAATATACACTGTGTATATCCAGTGTAAACAGCAACATATGTACTGTGTATACAGAACACAGTTTCTAACTTTTTCAACTTATGAAATTAATTCATGTTTAGAGATCTCAAAATTCATAATGTGTCAAAGTTTTAAATATAGAGAGTTAGAAACAGCAAGGAGAAGTCACCTGGCCAGAGCGTAGTTTATGAAAGACCTCCATAAACTATGTACAAAATAAATAAGAAGAAAGTATTGTGCTGAAATATTTATAGCCCAAAGGTTTCACCCATTAATAGTTCATAGATACCGTCTTCAAGAATGAGTCCACTGAGGTGACTGAACTACTCGGGCAAAACCAAGTTACCTATGTTTGCAATAGAGTCCTAAGAGACTTCAAACTTCAAAAGAGATTCCATTTCAGAACAGGGCTCTAACTGAACTTCAGCAATGAAAGCAAATCAGAGCATAACAACATCCACCCCAAATCAATCCTACTGCACTTTGCAAAAAAAGTTTACTAGATTTTCAAAAGAATGATTTCTTTTTGTCACAATAGGTATGAACATTTTATTTAGTATCCCTGTGAGAAAGAAAATTTTGCCGTTTAACACAACACAAGTGGTATATATTTCATGCAAGATACGTTGTCATGATTCAACTTATGTTTTGGATGTAATTTCCAAACAACAAGTAGCTCAGTTACTTAGATTTATTTTTCTGAACTCATACTTTACTTTCTATGCAGTATGTTCATCTTCTTAAAGCACTGATTCCTGGGATTTCTCAGTATATCCAAACAAAAGTCCCATCTAAATAACGTTCGGGGTTAGTTCACAGTTACATCTAATATCTGTACTTAGAAAAAAATTGATTGTGGGTAGATATATCATAGATATGTACATACTAGAAGATTTTAAAACAAGAGTAGATATAAAACACTGAAACATCAAAAAAACCAAAACCCAGCACCAAAACCTGATACATATATATCCATATGAAAAGATGATGATGTTTGATTACTGTATCCTAGAAAATACAGTTTTTACTTGTCAAGTGACTAGATGCTTTATTTGGACATAAAATGAACTACTTATTTCTCCAAAATAAGTAAATAAATGAACAGAAGTTAACAAGGAGGTATGTCTTTTCCATGATTCCCAATACAGCAACACCTATTTCTGCACCAGACATTACCATTTTGTAAAATGTTTTCTTCAAACTAAAAAGTACAATCCAGATGTACTTAAGAAAACATTTAGCCAGACAATATAGGGCTCTCAAATACACTTGTACAAAGCTAGTGAAGGAATCGCAGTGTCTCAAAAGTGACAGGCAGTCAGTTATTTCTGCAGTGGGCAGATTTATCAAAACTATTTGAGAAGCCTAGACATAAAATTGATTTAATTCCATTATTCAGCAATGATCTTGACTACTGAGATGAAGCAGCACACTCTGACCTGGGAACCTATCTTAGCTAGCAAAATTAAGTGGCTATTCTTTGCAGTCTAAAATATGAGTGGATCTATACAGCAAATCGTTTGGTTCTCACATGTTCACATCATTTGTTCATTTTTGAGTTTTACTTTGAGTTGTGTTAACCCAAACACCCATTTGCAGTCAGAACACGTGCTCCCCTCCCTTTTAATAGGAATCCAGTTTACATGCTCAAGACAGCTCCGTGTTGCAAACTGGAATGCAATAAATATGGACAACTGGGAAATCCAAGACATGTACTCCTGTTAAGCACTAAAATGCTACCAGTAATATTATCCATGTACTCAGTGACGAGATAGAGGTACTCTGTATTGATATTGAGAAGTCAATCTCTGCTTTGAAATTGCCTTTTGGGTGAAGCTACTTCCATCCACAGTGCGTATAAAGTGATTAGAAACTAAGTCATGGGACTAGTTTTCCTAAATTACGGTGCTTAATGTCCGCATAATGAACGCTTTGACATAATGTAGGATGATCTGTTCAGTCTTTAATATTTTTTGTTATTATTTTATTTTTTCCTGTCCAGGAAAGTGGAAATGGAGTGTAACAAGGCCCTTCTAATACACCAAAAATAGTCACAAGTTTGAAATCACGGTTACATATGTATCAAATAAATACATAACTGCAATAATTAAAGAGGCTATAACATTGTGTTTCACTACTATTAAAAGGGTGAAATGTTCTGTCTCCCTATGTTCCGAAGAAACACAAAAGGCATAATTTTGGTGAGTCCATTACCCAATAGCCTGGCTCCACCTCTTGAACATCAAGACATAATAGAGAAACAGCAGCTGATAAGACTTCACCTGACAAAGTGTATTGGTAAGCTACTTCAAGATACTGAGAACATATGTCAAATTGCCAAAACACACAGAAATTTTGAGTCCTAGTACTTATTGCAACCTCCAAGCCATAGCAGGTTACTTTATTCCTAAAGTTTTGTCATCCAGATAAATTAAGCTGGATTAAAATCACAACACATATCAATTAACTAAAATATAACTAGTCACTTAAAAATTAAAATTACTGCTGATGAAATGTAAAAACTAGGATATTCAGAACTAGTAAAAGGATCATAATAACATTAAACAGTTAAAGTCCAAAATCTCCAGGTACTTCTAGACTGAATATTGTAGTAGCAAACAGTGCCACATGGTGTGCTTACTCTGCTTAACAGGTAGCATCTGAGGCAGGTTTGCAAGTACACAGACTTTAATTGTCAGCACATCGTTGTTTATGCCTTTGCTCTGGCGCTTCCCATCAGAAAAGCTAAATACGCAAGAAGAGACATCATTATCCCTTTTCTTGACAAGAGGCAACACAAGGGCAATTACATTATAAACCAACTATCCTATATGAGTCTGCAAGCTTACCTTGGCATACAAACTTCAGTTCCTTGGCATCTGTGACTGTGGTTCTTTTATCTGACCTCTTCTTTTCTGTCCGACGGTGGCTACGTCTTTTCTTTGTCTCTCCCCAAAGATTCGATCCACCATGCATGCTTGGGATGTTCAGAATGGCAATTCCTTCCAGAGAAATATTGATTAAGTCTAGCTGAATTCCATCACACTGATTAGCAAGGAGAAAAAAGGAAAGGTGGGGAAAAAAAAAAAAAAAAAAAAGAGACAGAGAAAGCAGTAAAAGAGAAAGAAAAGTCAGAATGTTCTACCTATCAGATATTTTTCTTCAGCAATTCATCATTCTTAACACTGTTAATGTGTTATTCAATGTTTACACCTAAGATATATATTTCTATCTAGAAAGGAAGTATGAGATAGAAACAGATCTTCATTCAGAAGGCAAAACATGATTCCTATTCAGCTCTTGATTGCTTAAGTGTGGAGCCATTTGGTAGAGCCATATTGTTATCTGATACCTATTCATTTACCCAAGTGAAATATATTTGTAGCTTCACTACAGCTATTAGCAGAAAAACGTTTATACTACAAGAATTTCTATAGCACTAAATGGAGTTTTTTTGTTGCCTGTTCCAGCTAAATTGCCTGTCTTATGATTTTACAATGATACTTGTCATTATAACACCTGAGTCACTTCCACATGAAACCGAATATAAAAGCCCTTGCATAATGAGCCTATATGGCTTCATGGAAAAGGGTGTAGGTGGGTCCCGAGAGCACAGAACACCACACTGATGTGTGTTTCAATCCAAAGGCACAGCTGGCACATTAGCAGAGGGTTACGCCTGATGAATAACCCTTAGAGAGAGGTAAGGTTAGTAAAACTGGGTACAGCAAAATGCAGTTGCAGCTACAGCACTTCTTATCTCAGAACTTCCATCAGCCAGTTCTCTGAAATATGCAGTGTATATCCCAAACATGGGATAGGGAGCTAAAGAAGAGGTTCCAGTGCTCTAAAAGGCTTCCAAGATTTACTAGACACGCAGAAGAAATCTTACTCTGCAGGATAGTTCTTTCAGTGATGGATTCACTACTGTAGGGCACCTTGTCTTACTTGTGTGCATTTCTTCTGCTTCCTACAGCAACGTTGGACATTGAGGCATTTTATAGGTGGACATTCCTTTGCTAAATTTGGCTTCAAACTGTATCTTATAGAATCATAGAATCATCTAGGTTGGAAGAGACCCTTGGGATCATCGAGTCCAACCATCAACCCTTCTCTACAAAGTTCTCCCCTACACCACATCCCCCAACACATCTAAATGGCTCTTAAACACGTTTGGGGATGGTGACTCAACCAGCTCCCTGGGCAGCCTATTCCAGTGTCTGACCACTCTTTCTGTGAAGAATCGCTTCCTAATGTCCAGTCTAAACCTACCCTGTTGCAGCTTGAAGCCATTCCATCTTGTTCTATCACTAATTACCTGTGAGAAGAGACCAGCACCAACATCTCTACAATGTCCTTTCAAGTAGTTGAAGAGAGTGATGAGGTCACCCCTCAGTCTCCTCTTCCTCAAACTAAACAGTACCAGCTCCCTCAGTTGCTCTTCATATGATTTATGCTCAAATAAGACCATAATTGTCACTTACAGAAGAATGGTTCAGGGACCTTCCCTTATCAACCTGTTCAGTGACAAACTGCAGCATCTTCTCAGACAGCAGAAGCCCACAGGATTTGTAAACACAGTTCACCTGACACAGGTTGGATGAGATGTACTTAGCTTGATGGGACACACCTAGCCTTCATAGCCTCTAATTTACTCAGGCTAAGTCCTCCTCCCCACCCACATTGTTTTAGAATCAGGGAGAGCTCCTAACCCATATAAAACACAGCAAAATACTGAAGAACCTCCACAGAAGAAGAAAAAAAAAAGACTCAATTTCAGGTAACTACAGTAGAACCTGCAGGTGGAAGGCAAAACATCCAGTTCTACTTATTAATTCACTGAACCACCCAAAGTTCCCAGGATTTATTCACTTGTACCTTGGGTAGAGGAAGACTAGCTTTGTGCCTCGCAATGTAGTGGGAGCATATAGATATTCTGGCATCTCAGATGCACCTTGAAGTGTACAGCAGCATATTTTTAAAACATCAGATCCTACTTCTGCAGTGTTCTGCAAGCCAGCAGGGGGTCCCAGTCATGCATTTAAAACTGATTAAGGGTCTTATTTTGTAATTCCACTATAAAATAATCAGGAGGAAAACTGGAAAAATAATTAACCATGCTTCAGCAACAGTCCACTGCCATCTTGCAGCTTGCTGCTCTGTGGGTCACTGGCACTTCTTCCTCTCTACCTAAACCTTTATCACAGCCTTGAAGAAGAAAAGGAAAGTACAACTCAAAAATAGCTGTGCATAATTATTTGTTTACCCTGAAACTTTCTGAGATAACAAAACAGAACTGTATTACAATGCATACTCTGCATCTTCTAAGAAGAGTGTATATCTGCAGAGAGAACATTTTCAACATTAAGGTTTCCATTTCATATTTGTTCTTCAAGAATTAAATTTTAAACCTGTGGATCATATCTATATAGGGAAACCTTTAAAGTCAAAAGACATATCTGGAAGTGAATTGGCACTTGAAAGTATAACTTTTTAATCATACTTTTGATACAAGAAAAAAGGCATGGGTCTTCACTGTTATTTTGGAAGAAAATTCGTGGTTCCCCCCTATATTTTATATGTATTAAATATTAAGATGATTTATTTTACTAAAAATTCTGCTCATGTGTATGCTCACTTACTGCTATACATTCTAGATAAACAGATATTAATTTCATAATTAAAAGTAATCTTGTGTAAATACCCTGCAGGCCTCAATGAATCAAACACATACTGTGTGTCAGGCCTCCCACTGTCTTCAAGTGGAATGTACTGGCTGGATAATTAGATAGTACATATTTTTTAACCTTATTTGCATGCATATTATATCTTTTGCACACTGACAAGCAGCAGTAACAACAAAAGTCAGATTACCACAGGGAATTCCCACAAAGAAGTCTTCATTCCTTATAATTTGCAGCCTAAATTAAAATAATTTGATCTTTGACAAGGATGAAATGTCAAGCAGAAGGGGGTCCTCTACAAGCCACGGCCTGTGGCTTCTGAAATCTGCCTAATTTATGTCAGTCACTTCTTAATACATATTTAAGTATTACACGAGAAAGATGATAAATATGCAATCTGACACCTTTGGTATTTCCCTGCTGTTAATTTATAAAGGTCTGGCGTCCCCCAAACTGACTGGAATTATTTAAATAAAAGAAGAATTGTGAAATAGGATGGCGCAGGGTCTGGCTTCCATTTTCACTCAATATTGAACACAGCAGGTAGTACACTAAGACAATTATTTGACTAGGCCTCAGAATCCCACAGTGACGAGGAACTTTCCAAATTGGTAAAGGAGAATTTCTTTTGTTCATACACAGACACGAAGTTTGCGCTACAGGTAGCCCTGCATTGTCCTCACACATCCACACACAACAATAACAACACTCACATGTGTTCTGCTCCTTTTCTTTTTTTATCTTTTATTTCAAATAACGCAATGGCGCTGCTAAAAATGAAAGCACGCTTCTAAAACACGAAGCATGCCCACCTAGATTAGAAATAAACACTAGTGTTTCCATTTCTTTTTTGTCTTTTTTTCCTGGACTCAGGCCCCTTTCAGGCAGTATCTTTTATGCTTCATTCATTAGATCAACGTTTTTCAGATCATCTCGAGGTTGAGAACTTATCCCTGCCTGAAAACAGCTGAGACTGAGGCTTTGCTGTGTAACCAAGTGCAATACTGTGCAAAACTACATGATCCTTTAATCTCCTTGCCCCCCACCCATTAATACCAGGTGGTATAATGGGATTCTTCTGGTCCCATGATGCTTTTACAGCGTGGCAGGTATGGCCCATGCCATCTCCACTTACACTGCATCTACGCCTATTCTCATCAAATATCCTTTACACACCTTTCTTTTTTTTTTTTTTTCTGAAGTGGAAATAAAGTGTAAGTGCCCTAAACTGTAAAGTCTTAAGCCTCATTTATTGACACATTATTATTAAAAATAAACACTTAATTTTGCCCTGTGGGTTTTTTTTTTCTTCCCCCTTTCTTCTTCCTTAAGAACCCGTTTCCCTCCCCAACTTCTAGGATCTCAGTTCGGAAATAAAAACACATCTTACTCAGGGTAACATATGAATTTCATGTCCAAACTTTGTTCTGCATCTCATGCAGAAGAAAATATACAGAACACGAGAGACATGAACCTATCTTCAGAAAGTTGGGCTTAATTATGTTAGAAATCAAATATAGGGTTTGCCCACAGAATGTTTGGTTGCTGTCTCCCAGCTCAGAGATGCGGATCCTTAATCTTCGTGGGCTTTGTTCATTCACAGCTTGGCTGTAGAGCAAATGCGTTCTTTGTGCATTTTATTCAGAGTGAAATGCAGTATTGTACACCAGGCTCTCATTTACAGCAACATCCCCAAGCAAGGGGCAGCAGGTTAAAAATCAGATGAAAACAGTGCTACTCTCAAGGGTTTGTAATGCTCAAACAAGAAACATTCGATACAAGCATATTGGCAAGCGTTGTTCATGTAAATGTAATTTAGTCATTGTAAATAAATCTGTAAATAACTACCTCCTAACACTTCTTGTGTAAACATTTTGGAAACTATTTCCTCTTTTTTGTTCCTAATTGTAGGATTAATGATAACGACCAGGACAGATGAAGTGAATATGAACAAACATGTCTCATATACTGGCAACGTAATACTTTGTTTGCAATAATAGCGTTATGGATGAATTGGTAATAATTATACAACTTCTATCAGCAGCATCACAAACTTCTATGCATTCTTGTTTGCTTTGGGATGTTGACATTTCATCATCCTCTCAGTGGTTGCAATTAGATGGTTTAAGATCATCAGATCTTACAGGTTATGTAAGATTTTTGCCACAGAAATAATTGTCTTGGGAAAGCCTGCTCTTCAATTTGTATTTAATCAAAAGGTACATTTAACTTGCAGTATATTCAAATCAAATCAGGTAAGGATTTCTTCCATCAGCTAATCAAATATTTTCAGGCTACATGTACTTAAACCCAAATGTGTGAAGCACATTCTTGGGAAGCACAGTTTTTATGGTTTGGTTTGTTTTCCCGGGGTTTTTGTTTGGTTGTTTGTTTTGGTTTGGTTTTTTAATTTGTTTTTTAATTTTTTTAATCTAACACGTGGAGCATATTCCCACTTAAAAAGAAACATAACAGTATAAGAGGCACATCTGGCACCACAGGTCTTACAGGTTTTGTCTCAGTATTCTTTGTACTGTTCTACTAACAGATCCATGGTCTCTTCGGATCATTTCAGACTTTGCCTTTCAGGAGGCTTTGACCAGACTCTCACAGCTCTCACCACACCTCTCGCAGTGCCTCATGCTACTACACAAATCCTCCACTGATATGTGCAGTTCTCATTACTACAGGAAAGGAAAACCACCGTAATCTTCTCAAGAAATTATTTCATTATTTAACTTAAATTCCCAGGTTTGCGCCTTCACTCATTTCACATTTTACTTTTACTTATTTATAAATATCAGCCCCCAAACAGTTTATGTAATGTAGCCACTTATTCTATCAGCCATCAAAGTAGCAGTGGCACATTATTTTAAATTCCTATTTTGTCTGTAACTATCCTGTGTCTTTTCAGTTAATGTTCAATGTATAATGGAAAGATGACCCCTTGTGCAGACAGAAAAGCTATTTAATGAAGGGGAATGATTCCAAAAAATATATATTCTTTAACCTTTATTCAGGAAAGTAAGTACAATTTTAGGGAATTGAGTTTTAAAGGTTATAAAAACTTGGGACCCAGAAATAATAAGATTTTTTTTTTATTTTAATCCTGAAGCAGCTCTCACTCCCTCTGACAGTCTTTCATTTTTCCATCTGACCTAGCCACACTCCCTATTGATTTCTAATGTTATATTTCACCTCTTGACCTTGTCTACTGTATTAAGACTTCACTAATCATCAAACTGAACTTTGTTCCAGTGTGCAGGGCTACACTACAAATAGACACGATAAAAATAATATTTTGGAATATAGGGTCGAAAGGATGTGCACTGCTTTGCCTTGTTGGATTCAGGCACTCTGCACCCTTGCTCCCTGCATTTCAGCCAAACTAGTGACATTTCAAGGATAAAGGCAACAATTAGTTTCTTACTTCTATTTCTACAGATTCATGCAGCTTCTTACAGGTGGCTGAGAAAGTTTCCGAAGTGCCAAATTCAAAATACCAAAATTTGTTCTTCATTCTGAAACAAGAAAAAAAGAAAAGAAAAAAGAAAGATCTTATTCACTATCAATATGTGACACAAGTGATCATCCTGTCTTCCATTATAAGTAATGGCAAAGGCTTGGGAACATGTGACATCCCATTTGAAATAGATGAGCTCATAATTTTCAAAGCTTAAATGTTGGTGTCAAGTTGTATGATATCCCCTAAAGGGATAACAGGAATGTGTTGAACTGACAGGTTCAAATGTACCTTTGACTTTTCTTTTTCAGTGACTATCAGAATATTTTTTGTCACTTAACCAGTGACATGCCTCAGAAAAATGTATCGATTTTATTTCACGTCTTACACCTACTATATGATTTCTGATTCATGGTTAAAATCTCTATCCCGTGGAGCACTAGAATGTGCAACAGGGCACTCCCATCATGAAGAAAACCAAGACAAAAACATAGCTTGCCTTAAGTCAGCTAAAAGTTAAGGTAAAAGCGTATTGTTCATGATGACAACTGAGACATTCAAAGAAAATAAAAATTCTAGCTCTAACAACCTTTAGATATTTTGCAGTAGGAGAGCTGTATTACCAGGTAATTAACTCATAGACACATTTGAAATGGGTGATGGGACCTGCATCTTGAAGTTCATTAGCAGATTCTACAGAAAAATATAACTGGATATAAATGCTAGTAAATTGCTTAGTTTATCATGACAGCAGGCAGAGATTACACTTTTTTTCTTCTTAAATACATAAAGACTGCACTTCTGTTTTACCAGATTTATTGCATACTGTCAAATACAATCAGGACACCAGCAGTACCATTTCAAATAAGTATGTGCAGTTTTGTTTAACTCTCATGAGTAATTATTATTCTGTAACAAAACAAGAAGCTAAACTGAAAAAAAAAAAAAAAAAAAAAAAAAAAAAAAAAGGCACCGAATTAGAATTCATTATTCACAGTTAGGAATCAGATATGAACACAGTTCATCCGCTTGTATAAACTGCTTTCTGACACAGACAAAGCACAGTGTGCTTGGAACTTGAAAATGTCTGGCTTTGCATGAGCTAGAAGTAGAGAGCAGTGAAATGCAGACGTAGATCACTGCCAACCATGCCAACAAAAGCACTTATTTCAAATTACACATAAAAGTCTACTTAGTGGCTCTTAAAGTCCACCTAATGGCTCTTAAAGTCACAAAGGAAGAAGGGGGACTACAGCACTGGCCATTTCCAGAAAACTGGTGGCACACGAGCCAGCAGCCCCTAGTGTGAGGATGTCCAACCTGGCAGCCACCACAGGGTGGGGAACAGAAGAATAATATGAGAGAAATCAACACATTTCTGAAGAAAAAAAGTTACAGGCATTTCCGAAGGATTTTGCACACAAAATTTGCAAACATTTCACAACTGGTTTTGAGAACTGTTTTGGGGATGAACGACATATTCTCAAAAAAGCTCCAATAACCAGAAGAGCTCAAACCAGATTTAGCCTCCAGACTCCTAGAGCCTGTGAGTGGAAGTGATCTGAGGTATGTTCCTTCTCTACTAGTGGTTTAGTCAGGAGACTGTCACACTGACCAGGGAGCAACTGCTCTATTTAAGCCAACGTATATGAAGAAATGAAGAGTCCTTTAATTTCCAAACAAGTGTGAACAAAGTCCTGGACTCCAGTTGGGTCCCTTTGGAAAATCTGGATGGAGCTATTTTCCTGCTTCTTTCTACGCAGAGATGATGAAACAATAAAAAAAACCCCTGATGTAAGTATTCAGAAGAATACTTTATGATTTCTTGTGATCTTATTATTGAGCAAGACAAACAAGCCTTTGCATCTTCTCCTTTGAGAGCCTTTCCTCTTGCTGCTCAGTTATTTTTACCTCAAATGAAGCTTCTTTTTCTTTATTGGAAATCCTGCTTCAAATTGACTTCTTAGCACCGTATATAATAAACTCTTTGATTTGCACACAGATAAAAGAGATAGACATATTTCAGAGTCATTCAGAATATATTGTGTCAATTCATGTATTTTGAACTCAACAAAACAAAACCCAGCCCAAACAAGTGTGAACAAAGTCCTGGACTCCTGGACTTGTCAGTGCATTCAAGGTTTACTAGAACATTTAGGTCTATAAATCAAAAACTTGTAGAATTATATGACAGAAGATTAAGTACGTTTATCAGGTGAGGTTTTGATGGTAGATGTATTTCTTGCCATTATAATATACCCTATAAGATTCTATTAGGCCAAAAAATATAGTCTTGTGAGCCTGTCCTCCTTTTCTTAGTTTACTGTATCTCTATTTTTAAGGATAGAAAAACAACCTACTTGACAGCTTTTCCATTACAAAGATAGATGTGGATGATACAAATAACTTTATTCCTCATTTCCAAAAGGATTGACCAACTCCCTTTACCAGCCATGAGATAGATTAGATTGCATGTATTTATCCAAATGCACTATATTTTTTATTGAACAGAAAACTGTATCTTATGTGCAGAAACCAAAGGTAAACGTAAAGAAAGCAAGACAAATTATAATAAAATTTCCATAAACAAGACCACTGTTAAAATTATAGTAAATATTGTAAGTTTTCTAATAAAAATGCCTCTAAATTTGTATCTTCCACTTGCATTCCTCTTTCAAACAGGTGAAGCTTATCTGCTTATCAAGACAGCAGCAAATAGTAGAAGAGTCCATTTAGAAGTTTGATGAACTACTCTTATGGCCATTCTAATTTCTTTCACAATGGTATAAGTAAATTTTGGACTCATAAACAAATATATATTTAATGAGAATTTTGCAGCATTAAAACCGTAAGAAACTGAATCATGGGCCTCTGGCCATGTTTACTTCCTCTCTCTCGTAGAGGAACTGATAATTCAGACTTGTTCGAACTTTTAATAAGAGATGATCAAAACAAAGATCAACTCTATTCCAGTTAAAAAAAAAAAAGAAAAAAAAGCGTTAAAAAAGTAGCACTTTTCTTTACAACACTAGTTTTGTTGGAATAGATTATTTTACAGGAAAGTGGTTTTGTATATGCTTCAAAGTGCATAGCTAAACTCTTAAGTCCGTGTTTGAAAACACAATATAAATAGAACATCAATCATGATTAAAGGCTGACCTATCTAATCCTGCTATTGGATTACAGTACGTCAAAATATATACAGTCTATGGCTGTAGGAATAAAACAAAACTGTACTTCAAGAGCCTAAACACCTTTTATGCTGGCGGTGTTCCACCCCCTCAAGTACTGGTCAATTTTCTGATAAGTGGAATGATCTTCTTAAACAGGGATGAAACAAATTGGTGAGACAGTACAGGAAGGCCAATACTGCCATTTCTTATAGTGTTTCTATGCTGTGGATAAATGTCAGCCTTAGAAACTTGACTGTGTTTCTTGGAAAAGTTCAGACTAATATTTGGTAATCAAGGCAAAATGATCAAAATAGTCTGTGATATGGGTTTGCTCCATTATCAGTTAATCAGAAACCCCCCTACTGCTAAAACTATTTTATATAACCTTTCTGATTAAGCAATTACAAGGCATGTCATTGAAAAATTGTCCTGTATCTAAATATGGAAATAGTAAATACTTTATTCTACACCTGAAGAGCATCTATACTTCATTCCAGTGTGCACACTCTGTCACAATGTGCATAACAATAGAACAGCTAGAGGCTGCTAATAAAAGGTCACAGCAATAAAGCAAGACTATCTTTAAACTTAAGAAACACAGTCATATTCTGGTGTTAAGGGTCTGCAGCTGGGGCAATTGCTTATTGCTACATTTGGAAGTTTGTCACACTTTCTACCACATTATATTCACGCTTCTAATATTTACTGTTTATATTTATTATATTTATTTCCACTTTATTTTAGTTCTGCAGTGTCAAGCTTCGATGACTTGAGCTAAAAATTTCTACATCACGAAATTTCTGACTGCAGTTTTTATAAAATTTCAACTGAAATACTTTGACCATATTTGAAAATGACTGGAGAAAGTCATGTGTGTTTGCTTATACTGTTTTGGATAACATACACTTTGAACTGCCTTAATACAGCTACACTTTCTGAGCAGAGATTTTAAATTTAGCACAAGGATAGCCGTGCATCAAGAATATGCCTCTGGCCATCTGTGTGAAAATACATACAGAATTTAACTATATTATGACCATTTGGAAATACACTCTGGGAAAGCTTTATTTGCAATATTCTCATATGGCAGAGAAAGAATACATTTTTGTATTTAGTTCTGTCATCTTTTTTCTTTTAACCTACACAAAGTATATAGATTTTTACCCATGAAACTTCTCGAATTCTAGATTTTTCCAAGTTCAATTCCTTGAAAAGCCCACTGCCAGGAAGCAATTTCTACCACAAATCTGTGCAAGAATCTCTGCTCATAGACAAGCAGCACCTGGTTTCCTCTGTAAACTATACTCCTCCCCAAAATATAACCCCTAAGCACTGCCTTCTGAAAACAATTTTTCAAAGCTATTCCAATTATGTTGCAGAAACACTGTTTGTTTGCCAGTGAGTGTCAAGAATCGGTCTCACCCTATTCCATAAACTCAGAGTTTCCAGCATAAAGGTGCCATTCTAAGAGTAGCATTCATGAGCAACTGTGTACAGAATGTAATTAATTCTTTTTTTTGAACCGAAAGAAATATTCCACAAGGGGAAAAAAAAAAAAAAAAAAAAAAAAGAGTAGGAAAGAAGCCATGTAGAGTGAATCCTTATGATCTCATTCTCCACATTTCTGGAAGGTGCTCAAAGCCACGGATTCAGGGTAAGTATTTAAAAGAAGCAGGTCTCTGTGGCTCCCTTTTCTCCCTTGTTCACTCTTTTGTCTTTTGTCCCAAGGAAATGTGGAATAACATGGAGAACCACCCCTTCAGGGAATCAAAAATCCCAAGGAAGCATGCAGAAATGGAGGTGTGAGACAGAGGTGTATTTCCACAGAGAAGAAACTGTGAAGAGTCCAAGGGGAGAGAGTGGTTGACATGCATATGTAGAAAAA